AGCTAACATTAGCATTAACTGGGCGTAGTATAACCTCTTCCATTATAAAGACACTGATGGTTGAAACAATCAGCAGCACCCGCTCCCAGCAAGAAACCACGCTCAGCGGCGGCGAAAACTTAGCCCCTTTGATCGGATCAGTGAAATGTTATAGTGGCTGAAATTGGACCCAGTAGGCCGTAATTAACTTGACAGGTAAACACGATGATGTTGTGATCAAGAAAAAACAAGTAACATGAGAACATCATCTTGGGCTCTCCAAAGCATGGTGAATTGATAATGAAAATAATTATTCATTCCCAGTTTTTTCTGTGACCAGCAGGCAGCAGTTCAGCAGGCAGTCTGACGCAGGCTGCAGGGCAACACATTAGTAGTCGAAGACTTGCTTCAAGCTGCCCCTGAACCATCAATCACAGCCCAGTCTCCACCCCCACAGCCTTTAAAATCAGTCAGCAGCCCTCTGCTCTGATCCACAGACCTCAGACTGATTCCACTCAGCAAAAAGAGACCTGCAATGAAGGTTGATGAAAGACCATTTCAACCCAGGTTTTATGGCTTGTCAGTAGCAGAGCAGTGTGTTTCTCAGCATTATTCAACATTTCGACATTTATGTTCTCTACCAGACAATATAGTGTTTGCTAATATACAAAATAAACCATACAGGCTCTTCAGCATTGGTTTCTTTTAAACTACTGCAGACAGGCATCTGCAAAAACCACCTCATTCAGTCATGTGTTTGTGATATCTGTGGCTGATGGTATGTTTCAGTGAGTGTTTATTGTACTGTGGGTTTTGCTGGCTCCATAGGGCTGCACCATATGGGGAAATCCTACTCATGCATGTCGGTGGCAGCAGCAGCAGCAGCAGCAGCGTGCGTGCGTGTGTGTGTGTGTGTGTATGTGAAAGAATCGTTTAAAACCTGCTCCGACATGAACGCAGGTGGCTTGAAGCTGAAGTCTAATCAGACTATATTTGACATGCAAATGCTTAATAGGTATTAAAATGTCAAATGCAGAAACCTACTGTACACACACATTTGTGGATGTGAAGGCCTGGGAACTCGTCCCTGGCTGCTGCTAAAATCCCACCAACCAGAGCTTGGTGAGCAAGGCAGGGAGGGAAATGCCTCAAATAAAAAGACCGTGGTAAATGCTGCCACATGTGCTATTTATACAGAGGACACACACACACACACACACACACACACACACACACACACACACAGAGAGAGAGAGAGTGCAGAGAGACTGTAATCTGCTCCTTGATCTAGCGTGCTTCAGACACATAGAGAATGTGTAGGGGTTTATGGGGCAGGCAGTTAATCAAAAAATATTTTCTTCTTTCTGTTGGCACCGACAGGAAATTTCTCCTCAATTGAGCAACAAGCTGAAAATGTAGAAGAATTCACCTTCAGGCATTTCACACTGGTGATCTGGCCCTAGAGTCAGAAACACTTCCCATAAACTGTTCAAGTTCTGTTGAAGTTTTTAGAAAGAGTGAAATTGGTACATTGTGCATTTCCTATTCAAGTGAATGGGAAAGTGGCTTCAGACTTTTGGACCCCAGTGTATATTTTACAACACAACACTGATTTGGATTGTAGAGAGTGAAAACCAAACAACAACCAGGCTGTTGAAGCCTTTCCTCATAACTTCCTCTCATGCCCACAACAGGAACTACATTAGGTCAGTAGTCCATCATCACCTGCTTAACTGCTCGATCTGCATGCACTGTGTTCCTATTACTGTTGCAACTAGCTAGCGAACATGAGTAAAATGCAAAAACATAAAGAGGTTGGTGGCAAGTGGAAAATGCCGTAAGATGCAAAACTCTCCAAACTCTACGGTTAGGATTCAATATCCGATTTCACTTCTAATGTGCTTTTTGATGGTGGTTTTGAAAGTTACAGTTCCATTAAAAAATATTGAGACTCTCACATGGGAATGTCTGGTGTAGGTTTGCTTGAACGACAAGGCTAAGCTGTGTTGGTTGATGCTTGCTCTTCCTACCTCAGCTCCACACAGTATCTTCTTCCTCCTCTGTCAACATTTGCATTGGCTATGCTCGGTTTCACTGTGCCGGTGTTCTGCATGATACAGAGCAGTGAGGGCGGGAAAGCCTGCCGCACAAGGTGGCAGGCATGATGTTAATCAGCTGGTGATCAAACAGTAGCAGGCTGTATGCACCAAGTTTCTTCTACAGGATGAGTTGTTCTTGGCTAAAGCAGGGACAAATATCAGGCAGAATAACATTGGTGCATGTTTATACAACTAATACAAATTATGCAATTATAATTTATGCTAAAATTTCATTTCATTTTTGACAAGAAGCTAGTAAGATTTTCCATTGGGATTCAGGCATGTGAAACCGTGCAAATAAATTATATTCATGGGAAAAGTGCCCGGTCAAAAGCACTTGTTATGTTGTGTTGTCGTTGTTCTTTGTAGAATAGTATGAGAATAGCAAGTCATCAGTCAGCCATGATGGCCGGTCACCTACCAACAAGGCAGTTATTTTCCCACTGTGCTTCTAACTTCAGTGTCCAGTGAATTCACATGAAGACTCGTGCCAAAACAAGCTAACACACCAAACCTCAGCCTGTCAGCACAGAGTTACTGAGCTGGGAGCAGAGACGGCTTCCCGTCTGGCTCTGCCCCCCCCCCCCACTCTCCTTACTTCTTGGCCACTTCCTGTCTTTGTCAACCTCCTCTGAGTCACAGACAGACAAAACAACTTGACAGACACTCTGGCAAAAAGGCTGAGGGTAAACCACCCAAGTCATGCATCGTGCAGTCCAGGAAACTGCACGTCTGTCATCTGATTTGTTGGGACCTCAACAACAATCAGCCAAAAAAAAAAACCCCAAAAAAAACAGCAAGAGTGGACGCTGAAAAGTCTAGAACAGCATTACCAACCACATATACTCACCAAGCGTTTAATTAGGAACACCTGTACGCCTGCTTTTCATGCAATCATCCAATCAACCAATCGTGTGGCAGCAGGAGCTTCAGAATGAGGAAAATAATGTGATCTCATGAGCATGTCATGATTGTTGGTGCCAGGCAGGCTGGTTTGAGTATTTCTGAAACTGCTGATCTCCGGAGATTTTAACAAACAACAGCCTCTAGAGTTTTTTTACTCAGAATGGTGAGAAAACCAAAAGCATCCAGTGAGAGGCAGCTCTGTGGAGGAAACACCTTGTTGATGAGAGAGGTCAGACGAGAATGACCAGACTGGTTGGAGCTGACATAAAGGCGGCAACTCAGATAACCACTCTTTTCAACTGCGGTCAGCAGAAAACGAACATGTCCAACCTTGAGGTGGATGGACTACAACAACAGAAGACCATGTCAGGTTCCTCTCCTGTCAGCCAAGAACAGAAACCCGAGACACAGACTCATCAGCACTGGACAGTTGAAGACCGGAAAAAGTAGCCTGGTCTGGTGAATCTGAATTTCTGCTGAGACAGCACATGGTCGGGTCAGAATTTGGCATCAACAGCATGAATCCATTAACCCCACCTGACTTGTGCCCCTTCTGGCCACAGTTTACCATCTTCTAATGGCAACTTCCAGCAGGTTAATGCTCACCGCTCAATGTCACAAAGCAAAAGTGGTCTCAAGCTGGTTTCATGAACATGAAAGTGTGTTCAGTACTTCAGTGTCACCACATCTGAATCCGAATAGAACAACTTCCTGATGTGGTAGAACACATCACATGTGGTAGATTCACATCATGAATGTGCAGCTGATCTGAATCTGCAGAAATGATGTGTCTAAGAGAGAAGTTTAACAACATTTTTTATGGAGTCCATGTCACAGAGAATTGAGGCTATTTCGAGAACAAACAGAGGCTCTACCCAGTATTAGTACTGTGTTCCTAATAAAGTATTTGTGGAGTGTTTTTTTTAATTTGTGTGTGTGTGTGTGTGTGTGTGTGTGTGTGTGTGTGTGTGTGTGAAGGAATGCTGGGCCCACAGAGGCATGTCCTTACAATATCTGGGTCCATGTCAGCCGCCTTTCAGCATAACAGTCACATACAAATGGTCCCAGCATTTCCTCCACCACTGCAAAATGGAAATATGTTGAAAGAAGTACAAGTGTTTGGGCTCAGTAACAAGCCCAGGGGTGCACCTTTCAAAAAGCTTTGGCTGCTGTGGTTGAAGTTTTTCCTTATTGTTGTCCACAATAAATAATGGTGAATAACATTTCAATAATAAGGGCTGGGTTAAAAATCAGAAGGACAGACTCTTTGTTGTTGCCACAGGAGAAAACACTGAAACATGAGTCACTTTCAATTTAAAGGAAGAACTGCTCTGAAGGACAAAGTGCTAATTATAGAGATGTTTTATTCCATACACCTGTTTATACTCTTGTGAGGGATGTATGACTTTCAGCACTGTCCCTCAGTGCTGCGGCCTTGAGAGAGGCAGAGCTCTTCAGCTCGTGGTGTATTTTTATTACTTAAACAAAAACCAAACGTTAAGAACCAACTTCCTAAAAGCACACGCATGTTACAGGGTGCTTTGTGAGCTGCCTCTATTGTCCTGTTAGCTGGGAGGGGCAGTAACTATAGCAACCACATGAAATCTGTCCTTCAACAAGCCAACATCTTCCTGTTTGGAGGGATGACACAGTAGTGTGTGATAGGGGCCGAGTGTGCATGAGCTGTCCTAGACTCCAGCAACTGTGACTGACCAAAATTATACTCTGAGACCGTCCCACAGAGGTGACTCAGTTGTTACGGAAACTGTTGTTAGTGTGGGAGTCAGTGAAATGTCCAAACATCCAAGTAGCTCATACCAAGTAAACGTCCATTTGGTTGTAGCAGAGCATTCTGAGACCTGACATCAAAGCCAAGAAAAAAAAAAATCACACCATCTTGTTACTAAGACACTTTCAGCCAATTGTGTTTTCCTTTGGACGAGGGGAAAAGGGGGGTGGGGGCTTGTTTCAGTAACGTTACCAAGCATCTGCTCTGCTCTCTCCCGCCCCCAACAGGTCTGTCAGAGGACTGCACTGTTCAGACTCCAGCCTTCACTGACGCTGTGAGACGTCACAGACAAGCCGAGGGACACTATGGGACCTGGGACATGATGTGCGGAGCCCCCCCACAGGTCAGGATCTCAGATCAATCACAGTACAGCACTGTCCCATTTTCAGAGGCTGAATTAGGGCTGAATGATGAGCAATAGAATAATCATGTTGCGATTATTTTGGCAGATAAGATCATGATTTTTGTGGGAATTTTCACTGAAAAATGATTTTTGCTGGAGCCTGCACCAAACAAGCACATTCCCTTACATCTGGAGAACATGATAGGCTGGATCCTTTAAAGTCTCTATTTATCCACTGATAAATGGGTCTACAGCTTTTTCCATTTCGTAAAACTGTAAACTTTCCTACTGACACAGTGTGTAGACGTTGCTGGCTGTTTAATGCCAACTTCCAGACGAAACGCTTGGAAATGTTTGACATTACGAGTTTACGAGGAGAACATAAATGCACCAGTAGCTTTAAACTACCTAATTTTGGGAGGTTCGGTCCTGCCTGCAGGTTCTAAGAAGGAACCACCTTTACAGCCCTACGACACTCGGAAGAACCAACCTTGACGCAGCTTATGTTTCCCTCATGGGAGGTAGATTTACACTGAGGTTAATGTGACTCAAATAGCAGGTGTGCTGCAGGTGAGAGGTAGAAGACATTTTCAGGAACTATTTTCAAACAGTCATTGTGAGAACATGTCCAGAGTTCAGGTCAGGGCCATAGTTCAACCTCTTCAGATGACACTATGATGGATGACACGCACTGTCTGAGAATGACTTTTCCGAGGCAGGGCTGCTTTCCAGAGAAACGCTTTCTCTCAGTGAGTGTAGCTGAAGAAAACATACACCCTCTCCTCACACTTCAGAACAAGAACGCACCTACACAAGACCTTCAAAGAGACAGCAACAAGACCCCACCCCTCACACACACACCTATACACTCACACACTGTTGACCGAGGTCTCCCCTCTGAATGAGTCTCTTTCAGTCTCCTGCCAGAGCTGCACAGCCTCTCTGCGTGTTTGTGGCAGTCACCTTTTCTTCATTAAATCTGTTTCCTGTTTGTACCTCCGTGTCTTTCTAGCTCCTTGAACTTAACAGTATTTACTGAGCTACATGGACATGTTAAAGTTAAAATGATTAATATTTTTATCCCTGACTAAGGCCCTTCTCGCCCGATTATTCAGCGTACTGTAGGAAGAGTCCTGGTCGTTCCAAACATCTTCTATTTTACGGAGGCCACAGTGTTCCTGTGAACATTCAAAGATTTAGAAAGGATAATTAAAGAAAATATGATGCACCTAACCCAAATCCGGAGTGCCACAGCAGAGAGACTTTTGTTTTTGTTTTTGATTTTTAATCTACAGTGATGGGCAAAAATGGCAAATTTTTCCATTCGGAATTCAATTTACAAAACAATAAAATATGCAAAAAGTGAAGGGGTCTGATTATTTCTGAAGCCGCTGTAGAAAAGAAAAACATTAATAATTAAAGTGTGTGAGAGTTGAGTAAGTTATTATGGCCTTACAGTTTTTAAAGATGTGAGATATCAGACTGAGGTAACATCAGTCACAGTCACCAGTGGAACGGTAATACAGAGAAAACATAATTTAATTTCCAGACAAACAAGCTTTTAGTCAAACAAGCTACAATATACCTTTTGTTTGTCAGGCCTCTCTGTTCCTGTGTGGAAAAATGACCCTGCTTTTGTCACAGCCATTTCTTTCCCAGCAACATGTTTTTCAAATATTTAGTTTAGCTTAGTTAAAACCTCATGGAGGTGCAGAGCTTTAAGTGTGTGTGTGTGTGTTTGTGAGTTGTGAGGGCAGTACCACTAAGACCAGCCTTCCTGCCTCTCCTTTTTCCAGCTGGGTATCATCTCAATCACCCCACTGTATCCATGTAACCACACAGGAGAGGCTGTACCTTTTTTTAAAGGTTTATTTTTGTTTTTCTTTGGGTGGAGGATATTGGTTGTTTTTTGACTACACCTCTTGTGTAAAAATCCCCCAGTTGGCACGTTGCCATGGTAACTATAACATCCTATAACTGGTCAAAAGGTGGGACTGACCTCACATTATGAACTACAAGAACATTAGGGAGAAGCCAGTCCTGTACAAGATGTATTATCCTGTTTTGCACTGAAAGCCGTGCAGGATCTTTTTTATTTTATTTACCTACACATAAAAATACAAAATACATACAAAATAGTGCAAATACATGAGTGCTGTACGTTGTGTGTGTACAGATTCTAGCTAATCTGGTGATGGAGACCCTTCACCCCGACCTAAGAAACGTGATTGGTCCTCGTCTGAAGGGGAAAATGCAGCAGAGGCAGAGGAACTGGATGTTGGTGAGTTCCTATGTATATAACAGTGCACTGCGGCACAAATACAGGAGACAAGCAAACAAGTCCAAACCAATGACGTCCTTGAACGACTCTCTCCTCCAGATCTCCGATGCTGTGTACAGGCAGGTGTTGTCTCAAACCACCGCTCGGTATGATGCACTGGCGGAAGCCTGCGAGGCCCAGAGAGCTTCACTGGACGCCAGACTGCGAACCGACATGGACCAGATCATCACGTCTAAAGAACATGTCAGCGGCAAGATACGAGGTGACCAAAGATCTACATATAAAAGTCTTTTTTTCTTTTGGACAATGAATTGTTTTTTTCCAATTCTGCAGACATAGTCATAGTCACGGGGCTCCATATGCTTCACTTTGACAAAACCCCAGTCAGAGACATTTATAGGAAGGTGTTTAGTATAAAGGCAGATTTCCATGTGTTGTTTGATTATAAAGCAGGTCCAGGTTCTATATTAATACTGTGAAAGTATCAAAAGTCCACAGAGAAATGCACAAAGCCTGTATTCAGAAACTGAGCCTTAAAACCAGCCGTCAGGACTTCGGTAACTTTGTGATGTCACAACAAAGCAGTCACCACTCTCAGCCATTCCCCACCCACCTGGACCCACCATCCAATCTTGAAGGATTTGGTTTCTCTGAGTGTTTACCTGCAATCTGCTATATTTTTATCTGATCACTTAGAAAACAGTCAGCCAATCAGAAGAGAGGCTCAGAGCCTCCTCTCTTCTGGTTGGCTCACCAACCTGTTGTTTCTCCGGAGAGAAGCTTGAGAGAGCTTGATCAACACTTCAAATAAAACACAGGAGAAGAGTAAAATAAGGGACCTTTAACAAAACCAAAAACATAGTACATCAGGATGTTGAGGTCATGGTAGCTATGGCAGCTACGGTTGGTTTTGGCATGAAGGTATCAGCAGGGGTTAAACTGACTATGCTCTACACCTGTATGAATTTGATTGGACGTTATTAGTCATCTGGTAGCCAAGCAGCTGATGAATGAAGCAGCGGATGCTAATCACCTAATGCAAGCAGGACGTCAGTGGCCAGGCTGAACTATCACTGTGCTCCATATGCTTCACCGTTGATAAATTATTGCTGATCTTGTTTTTTGAACTTCTAAAGTCTGCAGGGGCACTTGCAATAAATCCCATTACTGGGCTGTAAACATCATGCTGACACCACAGTCACTGTGATAGCAACGTACCTGCAGCTTTGTCCAGCACTTAGAGGTAGAAATGGGTGATATGTTATCACAGGTACACCACTAATGTACCATATGTTCGCTTTTAATTCCCATTCCACATTTTGTATATTGTAAGACATTTAAGCCTATGGGTCAAAACATGGCTACATTTAGTTTTCAAGTTATTATTATTTTTACATATAACAAAATAAATTAAATTCAGAGCAGTGGATAGGAAGGAAGGAATAAAGAAAGAAAGAAATATATCATATTTAATGTTCTTGTTACCGAAGACCACCTCAGTTTACCACACATGTTCATTGTGCTGTGCAAAATGACTTGGTTCACTTGATGCTTGCTGTGCTGTGTAACATGATCTTCCCTTGCTTCATTGTTCACCTACTGTTTGCCTCAGTGAGATGTAGCTGTGGTTTCTGGCTCAGGGATTATTGGCAGAGCAAAGCGATCAGTGTGGTCAAGTGCTCAAGTTTGTTTGGACATTTGGACTGACAGGGCCTCTGAAACCAAATGTCCCTGCCATATCTGACATTTTCCACCTCTTGTTTTAGTCTCTGTGCTTTGACCTCACAGCTTTAGCTTTGTATTTAAGTCTGTTGTTTCCTTTTCTCTTTCATTCCTCTGTCCCCCGCTCACTCTGTTTGATTAGCTGGCTTCTACGGCACCAGAGCATCCACCCTTTCAGTGGTGAGCCTGTCAACTTTCTACTTAAAGGTTAACTTGGCACAGGCTGCTCATTTCTTTTTCATGCGTACTGTTTCCCATTGAGCTGAAGTGGCAGAACTACATTCCATCACCTGCACTATATCGGCTGTTTGTGACTTTATCCCACAGATAGGACTTGAAAGTACAAGTCAACTGTGCAACACGACGCTGGTTCACTTTACATGAGAGTAGTGCAGATGTCTGAGAGGCGTAATCTTGGCTGTGAATTTTATTTTCTCTGTTTCTTTTGGAACAGAGGTTACAGGTCTAACAATTGGGTGTATCTGAGAGCGCTCCCACAGAATCAGCACAAATGTGTTTACTTAATTGTCATTGCATACATACCAACCATTTCAACCTGGCATTAAACAATACACTCTACATTGTGATGATTTTAGGTAGTTCAGAAGAAGCCAGAGCCATGCCTTTATTTTTCTTCATGCTTTGACTTCACGTGTCACTTACTTACAAACTGCAAACAACTAAACATGAATATGTTCTTTTTCCGTCCTCCATGCACTGCTGCTGGTGTGCAGCTCTGGTGTTGCCCAAGGCGGAACAGCTTCTACGGAACAACGTGCAGCCCTACATTAGCTCCATCCTGGAGGCCCTGATGGAGCCCACCAGCAGAGGTTTCTCTGAGGTCAGGGAGGTTTTCTTCAGAGAGATGGTGGAGATCAGCAAGAACTCGCTCAATGGAGGGGGCAAGGACAAACTGGGAGACGTGAGTGATGCTTTGTTGGTTCAAAATCTTTGTTCCTGTACATTAATGAGTGTATGATGGTTCAGAGTAATCTGACATCTCTGGTAACACAAGTTTATATGATAACCAATATAGAAGGAAAACAGGGGGGTGTTGTTACTGTCCGCTGAGCACCTCCAAGCAGCATTAATGTGTTTTTGGCCACCAAGTGCGATAAGAAATCTACAACAAGCTGACAGACACACGGCCCTGATATACGTATATGACCTTAATAAGTTATGTCAAAACAGTTGAAGTGAAAAACAGCTGCCTGCTGCTGATGGAAACAAGGTCGATGAGAGCGATGAGACTGAACCACAGGCTACAGCACTTTTGCTCTAAAATCAAAACAATGAGCTACAAGAGGCTAAAAGACTCAGTGAGGCTGCGGGGTTAGCTAGCTCAAAAGAACACTTCCTGGACATGCATCTGACTTCAACAGGCCCTTTATATTTTTGTTACATTAACAAATCAGTCAAGGAGCTAATTTGTAAGTTTTGCTATTGCTACATAGCCGACATTAGCATTAACTGCTGTTTACTGACCAGTCTAGACGAAACGTTGAGAGTTCGGTATCAGACTTCATTCAACAGCTGTCTCCAGTGGTGGAAAGCAACACCCATGTTAACTCTTGTTTTGCTTCTATTTCTATCACTTCTCTTATTCTACTGTAAAAGGATGCCAACCAGCTAGCCCCGGTTCAGTTACGTGGTTTGAGTCACTGTAGCGATCTAGCGCTGCTCAGAGGACGTGTTACAACCTCCCGTTAATGTGATGGTGGCAGATGCTCCACGGTGGCAGACAAAACTTACAAATAGCCCTTTTCTCATATAATGTTATAACGTTAGGCTGCTGTGCTTCCTGTATCATGATCCTTCACAATATTATTTTGATGTGATTTTATTCCTATTCCTTCCTGGATATAGGTCAAACCTTCCTGCCACAACAGAGCATAGGTAATACAGAGTACAGAGAGAGTGGAGTGTATTGCAACAGTAAAAAATTATTATAACAATGATACAAATACACCTCAGTCACCTGGGGGTGGGGTTGGTGCAGCATCCTCAGCACCTCAAAACTTCTCACAGCTCTGGCTGAGCAGAGTCTCAGCGTGGAAACTTCTCAGGACCAGCTGTCATACAAGCATTGCACACAATCAAACAGCTGTCAGTGAAAACTTTCCTCATTACTCCCAAATACATTTTACACATTGCACCCTAATGCCTTTCCCCCTTGGCAATGCGCCCACATCACAGTCCTTTGATTGAGATAATATACTTTAAAGACTACAGCTTTAACTAGAATTGTACTCAGGAGAGCGCATACCTCTGCCGAAGTAAAATAATGTTGAGGACTGCGATAAAGAGATTTACCCCTTTAACTGGAGCTGCATCAACTTGTAATAGGTTCTTCCTTGGCCCATGCCCCGTTCCTCCACCAAGTTTGGCGCAAATTGGTTTGGCACTTTATGCTTAGTCCTGCTGACAGATGAACAAACAGTCAGACACAGATGAAAACATAACCTCCTTGGTGAAGCTAACAAACACTGTTACTTGCAGCATTGGTTGTAACAGAAGATCCAGTTTACTGTCACCCAAAAGCCAAAGCCCTCACACTTGTGTTACCCATCACCTACTGTCAAAAAAGCAAAACTGCTTTGCATGATCACAGGATCAAAGCAGAAGAAGAAACCTCACAAAGCCATACACATGACAGCAACAATTAAATTAAAGATTGATGAATTGATGAGTTATTATGTTTTAACTTGGTTACATACACTTGAGTTAAGACCAAAATCTAGTTGAATATGGATATATTGTTAGGAGGAGCATTGTCTAACTTGTGCATCTAAAGACATTAGGTCATGTTAGTGCTCGTCTCAAATCAAAAGTCAGCCGCCCCCCGGTGGCTGATCCTAAACAATCAACTCGTCCTTTTTTCACACTTTGGTCTAAATATTTCTTTTATGATGCTCGTACCACTCTGATCAATGCTGCGCTCCTCTATCTTTCTTCCCCTCAGCTCATGGAGAGACTTTCCATGCTCGCCTTTCACCCCGTGAAGATGCAGAGCTGCTACGAGAAAGTGGAGCAGCTCAATCTGGAGGGGCTGCAGCAGAGGTTTGACGTCTCCAGTCCCTCCGTGTTTATCAGCAGAGCTCAGATCCTCATGAGGGAGGTGAGGTGTCACAGTCCTTTTCTCTGTTTCAACACAAAGAATCAGCATGTACTGAGAATCAGCATGTACTGAGAATCAGCATGTCAGACTGCCTGAAAACACTCCCTAGTTCCTAAGACAGCACACACCAGCAACCTGTCCTGCCTGTAGTCAACACTCTACTCCCACCTGCTGGACAAAAACAATACGACCATTCTTAAAGAAACTGAGCTGAAGCCCTGTATAAGTGCTTCTGTATAACTTTTTTTTTTTTTTTTATTCTTATTTTGACAGCAAATGGACAATTCAGTGTACACATTTGAGCAGCTGCTTCACCAGTCTTTGGAGGCCCAGGGAGAAAACGACATGTGCAAGACCATCCAGCGATGCCAGGACAGGGTTCTCAAGGTAAAACAGACAAGTTAAAAAAAACTAACGTACTGGAGTAGACAAACAGATGGAGGGATGGACGAAAGGATGACAAGTAAAAAGAAATGTTTCACTATTTGAGAATAAAGAATAATACTATAAAACAGTACCTACCCATTCAAATGGTTTTATTTTGAGTTTTCTTCCTCCAATCTAATACAGTGAAGGTTATTTAGATTTCATGTGTAGCCGTCACAGCTTTAAACATTATTTTGAAATGCTAATATTCCAGGATAAGCCAGTTGTTGCTATGATGGGTGTGGCATTGCTATCACGCTTGATCTGGTCAATATCATTTAAAAAGACTCATCAGCAGAAATCTGTCAGAGGTTCATTCAGAGAGACAACATCTGGATACACTGTATTTATTCATCTCCAGAGGTAAACAGAGGTTTCAGCAGGGCCAGAATAAAATGTTCCTGTTGAAACATGTGAGTTGCTAAGGTAAATATGGTTTGTGCAACGAGTAGAAAAAGCTTGTTTTGAGTCACTGAGCTCTAGATGCATCTCTGATCTTTCCCTGTCAGAAATACGACTATGACAGCAGCACAGTGCGCAAGAAGTTCTTCAGAGAGGCTCTGCTGCAGATCATCATCCCATACATGCTCCAGCAGCTCTCGCCATCCTGCTCACCTGTGAGTAGCACCTGATACAGACTCACATTTCCTTTTTTACTACAGTATTGTGACTTTTTCCACCTAATAGCAAGGGAGAAAGTACTCTGAATTCCAGCCCCCCCTCTGTGATGCAGGTCAAGGACCGGAAACCAAAGCCTTAGCTAGAAATTCTCCTAACCATGAGTGTGGAAAGAAAATTATAAATGACATCAGTGACTGGCTGTGCAGCCTCCACGACCCACTGAGCTGAACCACATCACTGCTGAAATTCACAAGAGAAAGTAGCAACACTAAGAAGATTTAAAAAAAAAAACAATAAAAACAACAACAAATAATAAAACTTGAACAACAGCTGATTTCAAGACAACACCTTTGTTTGCAAAAATTTTCTTTGTTCGTTTAATTTACAGCCATTGTTTACAAAGCATTGAGTTATTACTAGTACTTTGTTTTTGACCCTAAAATGTAACATCCAATCAGTCCAACTGCACAGAATATAAGAGACACTCTGTGGTTCCTGCCCTCTATCAACTTTGAACCCACAAACACGTTTTGATTTTGCAATAAAAACATTAACAATGCAACATATGCACATACAGTACATCAACAGGAAGTAATACTTCAATACGTCATTTGTATTGTCATCCACTGCATTAGAATCAGCGCCTATAGATTAGTTAAAACATCTTCGTTTCTGAATCCTGCAGTTATCACGCATCTCTAGCCAGTTTGAATCAGCCCTTCCTGCAAACACATGCAGGGATGCCCAGTGACGAGCGCTAACTGAAGGGATCAGAAATATTAATTGCAATAAGTTGCAGTAGGCAGAAGCTCATTACTGTCCCCTCCTTGCCCAGGAGCTGCCGCGCTTCAAAGAGCTGATATTTGAGGACTTCTCCCGTTTCCTGCTGGTGGAAAATATCTTCGAGGAGGTGGTGCTGCAGTCGGTCACCAAGGACATAATGATGGGTGAGGGCCAAATGAAAATAAGATTTCGAAATTGTTGTTGCCATGGCAGCAGTAGTAGTAGTAAGCAATGATATATCAGTCCATTATCCAGTCCATTTAGTGTTTCCTGACACGGTGATTGATTCTCTTTTTTCTTCCTGTGTCCAGCTGTGAAGGAGGCAGCTGTCCAGAGGCGACACAATCTCTACAGGGACAGCATCGTTCTCACAAACAGTGACCCCAACCTGCACCTGCTTGGAGAAACCCCCCCGGTGGACTGGGCCACCAAATTTGGGGACGATGAGCGAGAGGGCTCTCTGGGCGGCGGTATTGAAGGAGGGGGCTCTGGGAGAAGACGCAGGCAAGTGGTGTCCATGATCCAGCTGGACGGGCTCCCCCTGGCCTACGAGTCCTGTCTGGAGGTTCCTGGAGTGGATCTTATCCCTGAGGAGGACGCCGAGGTGTCTGAGGAAAAAAGGGAGGATGGAGGGGAGGATAGGGAGGACCCAGAGCCTCTTGAGAGTCCCAAGTCTCCTGACAGCGTGAATGAAATCAGGGGCCTAATTAATCCGATTGTAGAGGTGGAGCCAGAGTCAGAGGAAGAGGAGAGCGACACGACCAACGGGACGGAGCCCACCGCCGGCTTCATCATCTTGGAAGATGGGTTGCAGGAGCAGGTGACACATGTCACCACTAAGGTGGAGGACATCCCCAGGAAGTCTCCACAAGACAAGATGTCCCCGCAGACAATGCTCCAGCAGCTGGTAGGAAGCAAGAAGCAGGAAGCTCATAAGGAGCTTCAGGAGGAAGTAGCCATCAAGAACGCCATTGAGGAAACAGAGATAGCGGTGCAGGAAGATGGCACTGGACGGATTGCTGAGGTCTTTGCAGCAGCAGAATCAGATTCCGAGTCGTCACCACCGCCACCGCTGGCTACAGACTCCGGCAGGCATGATGACAGCGGTTTCCAGTCACCAACCAATGAGAAGTTGGAAGAAGGCGTGGCCCAGCCAATCACTAACGGTTTGGGTGGAGAGGACAAAATCATCGACCCGGTGGAAGTGGAAGTGATTTTAGCGTAGGAAGACGATGCACACAACAGTGAAACTGGAGAAAACCGCAGAGAGAACACATCAGAGTGTGCGTGACATGTGATGGGAGATCAGTGGAGTGAACTTGGATTGGATTTAAATGTTTAATTCAAAGCGTTGCCTCGTCTTTATTGTTGCACACCAACCAAAACCAGCTCTCCCTTCCTCCCCTAGACTTTTTTGAGACATTTCTTTGGTGAATGGTTCATCTCTATGCAGCTTCATGGATCTTAATGATTTTTTTTTTTTTTAATACTCTGTATATGACACTGAATTCCACATATCTGATTTATACAAGTAAGGCTCCATCACAATAAGGGATTTTAAAGTGATAATCCACTTTTTTAAATTTACGGAACGAGGGAGCAACACTAAACAACAGCTACACCTGAGGTATGAATGTTTTCAAAATGATGTTAAGAGTTTGTTTACATCAGTAACGTCTGTAAACACGGCAGCAAATCAGCCCTGTATTACTCTCAATATATCTCACATTCATATGGTTAAGTAAGTTACAGATTGTGCCTTTAACTCTAGTGCAGGTGAATGATCACAGCCTCTACCTGGGCAGCAGGGGGTGCTATAATCCGTCTTTCTGTATTTGTATGATTATTTTAATTACTTTTTTTTTTTTTTTTCAAATATTGCTTTCTATTTTTGTAAAGTGTATTTTTAAATATGTAATTTGTTTACTTTGCAATCATTTCCTATATTTGAAAATGGCCTTTAAGTTTCAACACCTTTCAGTACAAACTGTCATGGAATGATTATTACTTCCTCAGTGATTTTAAAAGCAAGATGGTTTTGTTTTTTGACATCTGTGGGGGAAAATAACCAGAACACATTGTTTCTTGCGACTTTGCCTGTGGGTGTAGACGACCAAGATGATACGTAATGGCTCTTTAACTTGCAGGACTCTACTTATGAGGGGGATTCTTAATGTTGGTTTCTGATGCTCTATCACTCCAGTACTTTGAATTACACATATCAGTGTCTCCTCCTCTATTTAAAAACTGTTTTATTTCATCAAACTTTTCTGGGTCAATGGAGCAGTTCACCCAAAATCATACACATTCACTGATATATTGGTATGGAGCTGTACAGATTTTTGGTTTGGTTTTATGTGACAGGGATGAACTGAGTTTAATGTCCTGTATCAGTGACTGTATCACTGACATTTGTCCTTGTGAAAGACATTTGTTCATGCATAGGAAAACATTGATGATTCAAGTGTTCCATAAAACCAAGAGGTTTGATAAACTCTAAACATCAGACTTTAATTCTTAAAATAAATCAGTCTGTAACTAACTGTTTATGCTTTGTTTTAAGGGTGTGTAATTTACTAATAGTTTTCTAGGATGTTTCCTGGAATTAACTATTTAATATTAAATAGTGTTTACTACAGAGAATAGACATAAGATGAATGTTATCCTTAGCTGTTTCACATATAAATATATATATATATTATCTAGTATAGTATAAATATATGATATATAATAGTACATACATATATTATTATAAATAGCGCCAAACTATATATATATATATATATATTAGTATGTTATATATATAGCCAGATGTCAGAAATTACAAAATTTTTTTTTATAGTCTGTACAACAGACAACAGTTTCAAGCTTTTGATCCCTTGATTTACACAAAAAGAAAGAAAACCTAGCCACAAAAAAATCTTTAACATAAACAAAAGGAGAAAGTCAGGAAAGGTTGCTCTTTCTTGACTTTCTCCTTTTATATGGAAAAGAGGAGGGATCCCTCTAAAAGGATGGACAGACATGACGCTGCTGTATAGAGCATACAGAGGTACCAATGGGAGTATTAAAGTATGGAGAGACAGAATAATAGAATAAAAATTTTAGGTAAACAAAGTACAATTTCAAATTGTATGCCTCCACGTTCACTATAATTGGTCCCAAATGACACAGACCTTTCCAGGAAACGTCCTATGAATTTGTATTTACATCAGTTTTTTTGTAAAAAAGCATAGGAAACTGTAGAACCTGCCACATTTCTGTTTTTGTTGTCTGCATCACACGCTCTAATGGGTGAATTATTTCCACTTATGTACTATGTGTAGTTAACAGACCACGCTGCGATTTAATGTTAAATGTTGAGAAGAGAGTTGCAATTCTTTCTCGTCTCGTCATGAGTCAGTGTCCTGTTGTGAAGTCACCTATTGCCACTGTATCCGAGGCACATTTTGACTTTGCTGCCATTACTTCCAACAGAGGACAGTCACCTTCTCCTGTTTATTTATTATAAAGCCTGTTCTGTGTGGTGTGTCAACATGCAGGTTTCAACAGCTTGCCTTTGTCTTCTTAAATATATAAGAAAATATATGGATGAATAAAATGATTTCATCAATTTCACTCTTTATTTTTGTCAATCATTCTTTGAGATTTTTCATTCAGGAAAATGCAACAGTAAAACTCAAACGATCAGACATGTTTCTATTGTCAGGATCAGTTACAAAAATAGTTGAAAGTCCTCTCTCAAAAGAGAAGAGGCGCATATTTCAATAGAAAACATCTGAAATGGTAAGTTACAAGGCACTCACTTTATTTATTTATTTATTTTAAGGTTGGTGGTTTGTCAGCGACTGCCACAGAACCACATGATCTACTTTCACTGCCCTGATTAACATGTGAGAATGACTGATCTGTAAATGAACCTAGGTGACACGAGAGAAGTTTACGAACTTAAAATGATTCAGTTCCTCAAACTAACAAAATATAGTCTCATGATCTGTGACTGAAAATCTCTGTTAAAAGTACAAGTCCGCTTTTATGTTTCACAACTGCAAAAAAGATTGAAATTCAGTATTAAATAGTTTAAAAATGCTGTTGTTTCCACCCACAAAGTGTTCTTCTTTAAGCAGTCCAAAGCTTAAAAGTCTTCAGGATGAATTTTACTTTTACTGATGAGAAATCTTGGAAATTTCTGAATCATCTGTAGTGTCATAGCATAAAAATTTACTTAGTAAAATGTAGTTGTTAATAGCGTCTGTCAGTGCAGACCAGGAAAACTTAAAGTTACGGAAGCAACTGTAGTACGTAACAAGCTATGGATGACTTTCCCATTCCACTGCATTTCTCCTCTTTGAATCTGTGTATATTCTTTTAGGATAAATAAACAAAAGAGTTCAAGCAAATAGCACTTCCCCCTTGGACACTAAAACATTTTTCATATGCATTACTTAAGTCTTGCTCAGATGTTTGCTGTTTGAGAAGAGAAACTACAAAAATATCTTTTTTTGAGGAGAAGAGAGACCAAAGACTGAAACTGGTGACCGGTAAAGACCCAGATCAGTTTTATGCCACACTTAATGTTGCACAGCACATTCTTCAGCATAAAAGTCATTGATTTCGCTTTTGTGCTTCCCAACTGTTAAAATTTGACAAATACTGTGCTGAGAGCAATGGAACAACATGCAGAAATTAGTCAACCAAATAGTTTTCCATTTAGAATCCAGAGAATGTGATCCTTTTAACTCAGGGAGAAAAAAAAAAAAGACCTCTTCTCCTCTTTATTTGAGTTTCAGAGCGGCCCATACCATCAGTTCTGACCCAGCAGAGGAAATGAGATGAAATAACCAAGGACAGAGCCCACGATGACCCCGAGGAAGATCCAGGTGTTGTAGGACATGACACACAGCATCAGCATGTAGCCAAGAGACACCTGCAGCATGTGGAGAACTGTCTGGATACAGTGCAGCAACCAGCTGAGGAGGACGAGGAGAGACGGGAATGAACGAGTTACACAGATTATATTTCATCCAACTGAGAGGATCAATGCTGTAAAAAATACTGTTGATTCAGTCTGAACAAGGTGTTATAAAGTAGATTTAGCCGGTCAAAGAGTCAGGCCACATATCACGTTATCAACCATGACAGAGTAGGTGACGCTTAACAGAGAGGGAGGTCAACAATCAGTCTCCAGGGAATGAGACGCGACACCACTCAGTATGAAACACATACACCGCTACAACAGGAAAAAAAGTGGGACTAATGTAGAAGCAAAGCAGCTCCACCCAGATGACAAACCTGTAACACTCAGAGAAATCACTCAACCGTTTGCTTTAATCAAAACTGGTTAATCAGTCAAGATAGCACTGAGAATATAACAGCGTATTTTTCAACCTAATTGTATTTCATAAGGGCCCTGACCTGCTCCTGGTGTTTGACACCGGGGGGTGTGACGCCATGGGCGTCAGCGAGGATTCGGAGGGGCTGCTCTCCAGTACGGAGATGCTGTCACTGTGGGAGGGCAGGGAGGCGGCGTCCGGACAATGAGGCGGGGCCAGCTTAGAGCTTCTTCCCAGCCACACCCTCCACACTTTGAGCACCTCGTAGAAAACTGTCAGCAGCAAGACCACGAACACCGACAGCACCATGCCTGCAGACACAAACACACCACACACACAGTGAACTCACACACACACACACATATATATATATATACACACTCTCATATGTTTGCACTAAATATGAAGCTAGAGCAGAAAGCAAGTTAGCATAAAGAAATTTCCTTCTGTTTCCATATAGACTGGAAACCAAAAGTAACAACATACCAGCATCTCTAAAGCTCATTAACCAACATATTGCAAGTGCATGAAGTTGTGATTTGAACACAGATTATGTGCTGGACCATTTCTTGGCAGGGTGCAGTGATTTCCTGCAGTCTCGTTTCCAGTGAAGAACCTTTCTCACAGATATGAGAGCTGTGTGTCAAACGCTCACCTCACAAACAAAACATTGGTGGCTCTGTCTCACAGAGCAGCTGGTGTTGACAGATTAGATTCATAACAGTTACAGTGGATAATACTGTTGGCTAGTTTCAGCTCTTCACAAATATACTGGTGTCATATATTGCATATACTGAATGTTGGCTGAAATATAAAATGCAGTATATAGTAGCGCTGGAAGTCTCAATACTTTTTAGTACAGAGTTGTGATGTTGGTCAGGTTCTGAGCTAAATCATAACTTGGATATTTTGGCTAAATAATGCTAATTTCATTGAGGATGGGGCAAACTGAGGTACAGCTGATTGTAATATCACACCAGAAACACTGCAAAGTTTGGAATATTTTGTCATATGAAGTAAATCTTTTTTTTCTTTTTTTTTTAAATAGAAAAACATGTTTATATATACTTTATCTTGGTCACAGCTCTTCATCAAACAAAAAATGGACCTTCTTACTAAATGAATAATTGATGATTAAAAAAAATCTTTCAAAATAATTGATATTTGCCTCAGAACTGCAGTATTGGCTCTGATACTGACCACACTGACTGACAGTGAGAAGGAGGTTCATGCTCCAGGAGTACCTTGAGAGGTCTCATGCATGTTTTGCTGAGAGACTGGGTCACCATTTGAATCCAGTGTAACTGTTGTGAATCAAAGCTGCTGTTCTCCACAAAGGAAAACTTTTCAGAACCACCTCTCAAGCCTAGAGGCTTTTAAACATACTGGAAGTTCATGAATGCACTTGCTCAAGTTTCACCTTATAGAAACTATAGAAACTTTATTGAGCAATGTTGGCTCAACATTATAGTATGTGCTATAGTGGATGCTCTGACCAGTTTGACTGGTTTCAAAGAGCTCCCATTACTGGCACATGTCCCTTAGAAGTGGAGGCACTGTTTGAGGCTTACCTGCAGGTCCGTGCACATCCCAGAAGTCAAACAGCAGCGTCACGCTGCTCGACACCCCAAAAGTCATCTAAAGAAAAATGAGAAAATGATTAAAATCCTCCCAACACAGCTGAGTGCTGTTTAACTTCTGATGCACCTTTCTAAATCTGAAAACATAATTAATGCACGTGCAGGTGTAACAACAATGCTGACCTCAGTCCTCTTTCCCAACAAGATCAGTTGTCTAAGAACTCTTTTTCTGCCAGTCTGATTCCTCGTCTTGGATTACAGATCCGAGCGACCTTTATACTCTCTTTTTTACTTTTTCTCACAAGGCCCAGATCATCAAATACAATAAGGCAAATAAAAAGATTACACAGAATAGAATTTCAGAGGACAGGGAGAGACAGTGTTTGACTCCTGTTTCAGCGCTTGTCTTGTAGATAATTCCTAATACCTGTGTGGACAATTACCTCTGTATTCCTTTATGCTGCCCTCAAAACCTCTTCTGTTCACCATATTCAATTTTGAATTCCTTAAATAAAAAAAATGTTTTCCACTGTTCCAAACAAAAATCTATTCATCTGATCTTACCTCACAATTACAGTAAGTATTGTCCCACAAAAGCACCCTCTGTTCTGCCCTGCTGCTGTAGATATGTGACTGACAGAGGAATGTACTGTTTGTGTGTGTGTGTGTGTGTGTGTGTGTGTGTGTGTGTGTGTGTGTGTCAGCTGCCCAGTCCCTGCCAGACTCTCACCACCTTGTCCCTGCAAAGTCACCAGCTGTCCATGCATGACTGTCTCTCACCAGCTGCATAATGGTGAAGGTCTAATTGGAGCCTGCGATGTCATTAATGCACATTAATGCCTCAACAACTGGGCTGATGAATCTACATATTAGTGATTCATAGAATATTTATTATTATTTTACATTTATGATCAATGAATTATCTAAGTCATTTATGAAGCAAAGCAGCTTCTTTAGTGTGAGGATTTTTCCTGTTATTCTCTGTTTTCTATCACTTTAAGTTGAATATCTAACAGTAATAGTTTTGCACAGCTGACATGATGAGCAAGAGATTGTTCTGGCAACATATGAGCAGCAATTATCAGAATTATCTGTCACTTCAAAGACTACTAAAAGTGCTGCAGCTCTCACCCATGGTATACCATTGTACATAAAAGTATGTAGTGTGAGAGGCGTTCTTGTTTAAAAGGTCACAGGTGTATATCATGTAACCAAGGGTGTCTGGCAGAGAATGATTTTTTAAAACCACCTCACTTTCAACAACTAAAGGCAAAGTCATCAAAAGGAAAACTCCAACATGGCTCCTGTTTCCTAAAGCTTTGGTCATCATCTCTATCGGTTATGATAACATTGTACTGACCATGCTAACTGCTGGGCAGTGACATCACTACAATGGCATCCAGCAGGAAAGAAACAGCAATCAGATGATCAGACAGGTTGTGAACAAACAGTTTATGATTAGGTTGGAGGTAAAACTTTAAGTAGGTGCACCTAAAATGCACTACACTAAATAAATTAGGTCAAATATGAAGTGTAAACGGTGACAGGTGTTTAAAAAGATCTGTTTACCTTAGTTTTTTTTCTTCCAAGCATGTCTTGTTGTTTGTCAGACTGCTTGGGTTTCTTTCCCTGCCAGACAGCTTTTTAGTGATGTCACCATGCTCCCAAATCTTAGCAATTAACTTGGTGAGATCAATGTTATTATTGGAAATGATGACCAAACCTAGAAAAATAACATCCAGGTTGTAATACACAGAGTGACCCTTTCAATAAACAAAAGTGAGAGCTGGAAAAAGAGGAAGAACTAGTTCTGCAGAGTAGTGAGAGTTATGAACATCATGTTACTTGGAGTTGCATCATTAGAGTTGTAGAGTCCTGTGATTGACTGATCTGATTTATTTCAAACCTGTTAAAAACAACATAAAACATATAATCAAGAAAAAAAACAACAGCAGACTTATCAGAATCCCAGTGAATAATTCAGGTAATCTATGCTCAAGAAGGAGTCAGAAGAAGTCAAAAACTTTCCTAATCCTACTCCCTTTTTTTTTTTTTTACTTTAACAGTAAACTTTGTGATTAATATGATAATCATGAACAGCTTCAACAATTAAATATGGTGCAAGGTCCACGCACCAAGTGTTTAAACAGTGCAGAAGTACAGTAATGGTGATACAGAGGACAGAAGTATTTGAGGAAACTTGAAAACATCACATAGAAAGTTAAATACAGACAACTTGAATCAACAATCCGGCTCGAGTCCAGGCTGGTGATCATTGTGAGCTTATCTTTCAAACTGCTTAAGAAACTCAGGCGTTCGATTGCCAGGTGAATGTTGAGACTGCACTCTGAGACTACTGTTTCTACTGCAAACACTCACTACCCTTTCAGAAGGCTGTGTCTGTGTATTTTTTGCATGTAAACCTAACCCTTTTACCCATGCAGAGTTTTTCAAAGTATATCATAACATTTAATTATTATTCCAACCATAAAATATTGCAACTGAAATGAAGCATTTATTTATTTATTTTTTTTTTTTGGGGGGGGGGGGGGGTAAAAAAATAAAATACATAAACATAAAAACATAAATTTAATTCATCAAATGTGTTTTAGTGCATCAGAATAACCTGACTGCAATCAAAAGTCTACCTTTTCAAATAAAGTAAAATGAGGATTATGATAAATATGTATAATGCTGTGTCTGTGTACTAATGCAGTCAGCGGATTGACTGTGTTGTACTAAACTGAAATTTTAATCAAATCGCTGGTTCACTTTGGAAACTGCCTGACAATAATGTAAATCACATGTGAGTTCAATTAGTTTTCAAAATTAAGTTAATTCGCTTAATGGGCCAATGCAAATTGTCTTAAGTGTTATACTTTAGTTATTTAAGCTCAACCTTAGTTCAATAGACCCTTTAAAACAAGCCTAAAGGTTTCAGAGGTAGCTGTGACAGGTGAAGCTAGTGTTACAGCTAACTTATCATCTACTCTCCAAACTGACTGCACAGTTTTAGTGGGTCAAAACTTACCAAGTATTACTAGTGTTCCTCTTTTGTCCAACTCCCTAGAGTCAATATCACATGTTGTCCTCACAGTGAGTGACTCAACACCACACTTTGACTTTTAAAATGCTAAATAACTTTACATTTAACACATAGCTAAATAAATGATACGGTGGAAAAACTACAAACACGCAACTTACCTGCATCGTGGTGAATTTGCTGAGCGGAGGCTAACACCACAGTTTCAGCAGTTACTAACTCCAGTTCCCCATCACACACCGCTCACTGCCCGGACTGTTAGGTGCCGCTGGTACGAGCCTGTTCCTCGGTGTATGGGTGTACCACAGCAGCGGCCAGAGACCTAGCGACTCAGCAGAATAGCCGCTAGACTACCGCGTGACGCAAAACAATAAACAGAGGGCTGACGGTTAGTGGAGTTTTTTTAATAACTGGAAACAAAGACCCAGTTCGATTAATAATCCAAACATTGGCAGAAGTCATGTTCCAGTCATGCGGAAACCCAAATGTTATCGTCGCATCTAGCAGGGTGGGAACAACTGACAAATATTTACATTACAACCCAGATTTAGTTAACGTTAGCCGAGGAATGTAGTCGGCGGACATTTTTCAACGAGATACCACGCATGCGTGGCTTTGGTTACGTAATAGACGGAGATAGCCGAAGGGCTTCGTACCTGTTCGCCTACTTTTACTGTACCGTCAAAGCCATGCGGAAATTATTGTGGAAAATCTTAATATTTATGTATTTAATATTTACATATACAGTATTGTCTGCATTGTTATATTGTCTTCCACATGTCTGACAGAGAGCTGTTAACCTCTGTGGCTATAAAGTTACTAACTTCCATTTTATGCCCTAAACATGAATTAAACTGGAAATATACTTCATCATTCTTTATATGGTCTCAGAGCTGGTCTGTGTATTTTATAGGCCTACAAAATGTAACCACTTCAGTTTCTATCAAATGGATCAAGTGCTTTGCTGCAGAGTTTGTTATCTCAGCCTCAGCAAACATCATTATCCCAGCCTCATTTTCATTTTAGTCACCCTGGAACACCTTCAGCTAGCTGCATTTAGTGCATTTGCAGCTTTTATGACAGCTGTGAACTTGTCACCACTGTATTCCTGCTGTTGTACACCCATTTCACATAAATTATTGAGCATTCATACTTAGATCTGGCTCTGGATCAGTTGTATCTGTACACTATTTTTCCTTGTTGAAAGGTGCTTTACAAATAAAACCTACCTGTTTTATAATGCTCAATGTTCAGTAAAGAAAATGAAAGAAAAGTTTTGGAAGCATGCTCCCATTTCATAACCACAAAGCTGACTGTCAACATAAACAACAAAAACGCATGTCATATAATTTTATTGTTATACTGTACAGTACAACTTTGATTCTGCACTGCAAGTTGAAATATTACATTGAATGGTTGAGGTGCTACCATTAGTATCTGCATACTGCACCTGTAAACAGTTTACAAGTAGAAAAATACAAAACCAGACACAACTCATCAATATGTGAGGAGGGGAGGATGAAATAAAAACAGAACAAGTTGGGCTTCATACTGTAAAGCTATTGTACCTTTTGGTGGAAAAGAATTCAACAGAATCAGGACTGATAAAGGCAGCGTGAAATTACTTCAGGGAACCAAGCTGCTGCTGCTGCTGCATCGTTCATGAAGATGAGAGGAATTGCACATATTTTCTAAAACAAGAATAAAAAAACAAGTTTGACAGGTCCAAGGTCCATTGTCCTCACTGTTATTAAAAGCTACATTTGTATACATCAAGTGCACTTAGCACAGTCCACAGGAGGCGGGACAGGAAGAGTTGCAGGAGCATGTCCTGATGTCCTCCCTAACCCAGAAGAGGGGAGACCATCAAAGGCTCCTATAAGGGGTGGTGGGAATCCAGACTGTTTAAGGCATGCATTCACAATAGTAGAGCCAGAATACCATAGTTTGAGTCTTAGATTTCTAACTGTAAAAGCAGTTTGTCTGTGGAAATTTCTGGATTCTGGACAAAACGTGGCAACATGATCTGCAGTCAGGAGAAAACGCAATTAAAAAAAAAAAAAATTCACAGGTTTGAATCTTAACTTGACTTGGATTTGAGATTGTATTTAAACGGGGTATAATAAGACAAACACGTCAATAGTCACACAAACATTTAGTACAGCAGTTGTGCTTAAGATTTTCAGTGGCATTATTTTCCCACGGGAAAGTGACAACAAATATGTGCTGATTGTTTTACAACACAGTTGGGCTGGGGCCTGGGTGATCAATATACGACACAATAAGACAAATTTATGCAAAGTCAGATATAAAACAATCAAAACTGAACTTTTTGCATTACATGAGACCAATTTTTTTTTTATATGCGCAAAACAAAAACTGCACTAAATCATTTTGATAAATTAATTTGTAGACGAATAACATGATAAGATCATATCTTGTTATGATTACACTGGAAATGTTCACTCAGCCCTTGTACACAGAAAAATAAAAATGTCTCTAACAGACAATGTAACACAGATACTGAATCAGGAATCTATGTAGAGACTGCTGAGTAAGTTAGCATCTCATCCAAATAAGCTATATTTTACACACACGTTCATACACACACACACATGTACAGTAGATGTGCACACTCACAGAATACCCATACACTCAAACTGTCAAAAAGTGCTGCGTCGTGCACATGTATGTTCATCATCTGCACTGATGGAAATTTCAGAGGATTCTCTTCACACTAATGCAACACGAAATGAAAATTAAGGCAACAGAGAGGAGGAAAAACAAAAAGACACAATCTCTTCCCTACAGAGACTGAAAAGAGGATGCAAAACATCACATCTCAAAACAACATATCTACGCATCTCAAACCTAAATTTGTCAGTTCTGCTCAACAGACAGTTGCAAGAAAATAAAATGGCCTCAGCTGGTGCATTGCAGAAGCAGGGACTCCGTTAAGCATCGCAGTTTGCACGGCTGATCATGTTCAGCTCCAGTTTCAAAACCAGGTTGAGATAAAGTTTGTACCGGCAATGGCCACAAGAGGGCAGAGTCAGACTGCACCAGTTCTACAGTCCTGTGTCCCACTGCAGGTAAACTGTCCCCTGAATACAAAACTGGTCTCAAAGCAAAAACTCTCAGTTATATGAGTCAACACAGGGTGACGGCACAAAGACAAAGCATATTTATATTTGTAAAGTTATTTATTACTTTCAGAGCCTGAGCATGTCAGTGCATGTGCTCCTCTGTGTGTTGAATTTTACATTTTCTCAACAGGAACGATCTTATACAGAAAGATAGGGTTTTTTAATTATTTAACTTATTGGATAATCCGTGTCAATAAAACAATCACATCAACAACACATAAAAACCTTAAAAGTATTTTGAATATTTTGTTTAGAGCTACCCGTGTTTCAAGTCACACAACTGAGAAGTTTTCCTGAGACATTATTTCTCTTTAAAGCCCCTGTGTGCAGGAGACAGAAAAAAAACATGACTTTCTATTAAAACAATCACAAAAAAGATGCTGCACACAGGGGTTTTAATACGTTTCACAGACAGCACAGGACCTGTGGCTGTAAATTCTCCTCTCGATACCCTGCATGAGGACAGCTCTGCCCTGCTGATGATGGGGACAGCTGAGAGACACACACACACACACAGGGACAGCAGTGTACCACAATAGCAAGTGCACACAAAAGGCTAACGATTGGTCTTGTCAAACTCGAGCCTTCAGCTGGCCAAAATCATTTTCAAGGCATCACAGATGTAACAATCGATTTAAAAGACAGAACAGAATCTACCCCGGCCCAAGAAGGAAACAAGTCCAATCACTGAATGTTGTAAATGCTGTGTGACAATCCAAAATACTTGTTTTAGGCACAATGATATTCACCCATTCTGTCTGACACCACCTGCAGGGACATGAGGTGAAAGTAAAATTCTTCAATATAAGATATGATCCCTTTTTTTAAATTATTACAGGACAAACAGAAGAAAAAAAGGGAGGGGGTGTTACTGTCCATCCTCTATCACCCAAGTGCGTCTGATTGTCCTGATTTGTCGAGAGGCCAGTGCAGACAGGTGTGGGTGGGTGTGGCCATGATGCTTCATCACCTGCTTCTTCTCTACTGTCTACTGTTGAAACTGGAGTTGGCGCTACTGCAGCTTTCCTCATAAGAAGGTGGGGGCTCTGTAACACACAAACAAACATCAATCATACTGTAGTAAAGACCCACTCCCCCTTCCAAGCCTCTGTCCCACCAGCTTCTGTGAGTCAGTGAATATTTGTTACACAGAGTTTGTTTCATCAGCTGATCTGAAGGCTGAAACATGTCTGAGGGTTTTCTGCCCATAAATAAAAGAGAGACCACTGTGCTGGACAAAGAGTGCAACAAAACGAATGGAATATGTTGCAGAATTAACAAAATAACAGTGATTTTATCTTGTTTACAGAATGAGTCAACACAATTCATGTAACCTGGCTTCACTGTCCTGATCCCAACCTGGGCTTGATGTGGTTGTGATTCTTTGATATGAAAGAGTAACTACAGCATTTCAATGTGGTTACTATAGATTTATTACAGGTTACATATTATGTGATTATTGAATCTCAAGTGTAAATACTGCAGCAACCACATTTAATGAACTCACATGTATTAAAGTTCGGCTGCTGTGAGTCTCACTGGTTTAGCAGTCATGCGTGTGGAGGCCCCTGCAGTGTCATGCCAACCAACACTTGATTTAAAAGCAGTTATCTTCACTAACTGGCCTATTGTGCATTCACGAGCACTTACCACAATAAGACCTTTGCAGCATTTACAAAACATAACTGGAGCCCTACGTTGACAACTTAACGTTGTCCCTTCACAGAACTGTAATTTCAGCTGCCAGCTATTGTGGAAAACACCGAATGTTGGGGGCTGACGACAGGTCAAACAGCGTCCTGATGGTAATGTTGCACACTAAAAAAAAAATACTCTCTATTTTTTCCAAGACATTTTGACCAGTTTTATTATTGTCACGATCTTTCCATGAGCAGAGAGCTGCATTGCAGAATTTAAATGGACACCCACACAGGTCACGTGTTATAACTGTGTATCCACAGCTGTGGTGTGCTATTGTTCAATATGTAACATGGTGATAGTGAGATTACTAATTAAGGTTTACCTAAAAGGAGGACATATAAAAACACTATTACAGGAACTGACTGTGGACTCACCATCAGCCAGGGTTTATCAGTTTTTAAAGAGTGAACTTCAGACAACTTGTTGCCTGATTTGACTAGAGTGAAAGGATAAAAACGGTATTCAAACTATTGAGTGTGACATGAATATCTAGTCGGCCATTACACCAACCGTCTATGTGTCTGTGTCCCTGTGTGAATCTGTGAACGTGATTGCCCGTGTGTCAGTGTGTGAGGTTAAGTGGATAACGAACCATGAGGGTAGTCCCAGCTGCTGTACTCTGGAGGGAGAATGAGAGAACAGGAAGTGGGTACAGGAGTCACGTTTCCCTCGGTGAAGAAAGGTATGGTGGCCCCCGTGGACACGCAGAAGAGTGGAGCGGACGCGTCGGGTCGTCTGTGGCTGGGAGGCAGCGCTGCGCCTGGTGCGTGGCTGAAGGCGCTGGGGGACATGGTGACCGGCTGACCTGACGGATCCTGCTGAGAGTGACTCTTGGTTGGGATCTCCTCACTGGCCAGGCCCCCCGCACACAAACCCTCCTCTGGCTCCTCCTCTGCCGGTGGAGCACTGGGGGTCACCCCTGCAGCTCTGGGTGCGATGGTGGCACCGCAGTGCTCTGGACTGGAGGGAATGGTCCTAGATGGAGACAAGTTCACAGCGATGTTCCCGATGTAGATGGGCAGAGTGACGACTGCGTCTGGAGATTTTAGTGACACCTGTAACACAAACAGAATTTATGGAGGGGAGTGTTGGCCTGAATTAGATTTTATTTCAATGCATTACCGATAGGGCTCATTATAATCAATTAAATCATCTTTTTGAACTCAGTATCTATTTTGGGTCATAAAAAATAGGTAATAGGTTTTTTAAATCTCTTTTTATCATTTATTATATATTTTTTAAAGGGGCTATTTTTAAGTTTTCTCTGCACCTGAACATGTATTTTTGCCAGGAGCAGGTGGTGTTGATTGTTGCTTGACAAGAGCTTCAGGCATAGTTGTGTTTAAAGGACAAGAGGTTATAACTCCCTCTGAGCAGCGCTAAATCTTCATGGCAGATTGGAGGCTACAGTGAATTGCTATTGGAAAGTGACCAGACAGGCTGAATCTAGCTGGTTAGCATGCTAACTTCAGCAGATGAAAAGATGTGATAGAGACAAGAGGTTGATGCTGAACTCCCAATGTTTCCTCTAGACTTGTAAGTAAACAGTTATTGCTAACGCTGGCTATGTAGCAAAACATACAAATAGCTCCTTCAAAGAGACACTGGTGAATAATCAGTGAATCCAGAGGCAGTGAAAACAGTAAACAAAGATATTACTCATCAGTGTGTCAAGAGCTGGTTTGTCAAAATAGAATCCAGAAGCAGCTGAAGTTATGCAAACCTAAAAAGGTGCCATCAACCTAGCATAATAACAGGCACACACACACACACACACACACACACACACACACACACACACACACACACACACACACACACACACACACACACACACACACACACACTGACCTGAATAAAATAGTCTATATCTATGAGGCTACAGCCGGCTAGTGCTGACTGAGGAAGAGGAGGGACGATGATCTGCTCCCTCCACTCTGCATGTTTTCCCGCTTTCACTCCGGCTCCCTCCACCTCCGCGATGGTCCGCAGGTCAAACAAAGGCCGCTTGGTCTTATAGGTCACTTTCTGCAGTGGAAAAAAAAAACGCCGACATAAGAAGATATGAGAGTGACTTCAAACCACTTCACCCACCTCTGGCTTACTGCAGACAAAACTGTTCCTTTGAAATGGATGGAGAAAACCTTTCTCACTGTAGAGTGATTTTATGTGGGCGCATGAAAGGATTAGTTCCATGAACGATTATGTTTGAAGCTGCAGAGTTCCAGCAGAGATTTATAATACATCTCTGAAAGGTCAATACCTACTGAAATGGAAATTTCCGGGGGGCAGTGCACACTGGCTCTGGTCATAATAATGGTAAATGGGATAGGGCAAAGACTATGAAGACACATATCTGTTGGTTGGAGAGCTGGGGAAATGTTTTCTCATCTTTTCTCATCTCCACTTTCCTTCATTTTCATTAGATTCAATAGTCCAGTGTCTACCTGTATGAGACTGGCCAGTACACATCCCGTGTCCTTCCCAGACTTGTTGTGGATCTCGGTGGCTAACTTGATGACCTGACCGGGGATGTAACCCCTGAGGTCGCTGCGAGCTTTCAGCATCAGGGTCCCCGTCTTCACCAGGAGGTAGGTGAATTTCTTAGTGGTCACAGCAGAACTCGAATGCTGCAGAGACAGAGTCGCAGGATAAATGTTTGTGCGTCGTTGGTAATTAAGAAGCCTCATTAGCTGATGCTGTGCTGATAATCTATTCCTGTTAAGTATCTGGAAACTGACAGCCATGACGGGAAGAGAGTGAATGATAAGTCAGTAAATCAATGGAGCAAAGGAGAAAATGAATTAGATGCTGCTCTGCCATGAAATCAAATAAGCCTTGATCAAGACACAGGCTGATCAAATAAAGAGATACAGTACATTAGAGGTCCCTTCTTCGCCTCCTCTCTCTGGATTATATAAAAAAAACGGTATCAATCCAGGCCCAGGTTTACTCGGCAGAGCAGAACAACAAGATTTAACTTTGTTAAGGAATAAAAAGAGCATCAAGGTGACGAATGAGTTTGCAGATTTGTGCACCGAACACTTACTTCAATGTCAGGCACCTCATTGAGGTTCAGGAGGTTGAGTAGGTAGAAGGGCCTCTGGGCTTTGTAGTCCTTAGAGAAGCGGGGCGTGTCGATGGCGGCCCTCACACGGTAAATAATCTTCCCAAATGGTCCCTCAAAGGAAGTCGGGACAGCGACTGAAGAGAGGGGAAGGACGAGGACAATACAGACATTACTGTGACACAGAGGACAGTACCTGACATTTCTGGTGAGGTCATGACCAACACACAAACATTTTTAACAGAAGATGGCAAAAATTAAAAGCAAGATTAATCAAGCACAAATTAAAAGTGATTTTATTTCCCTATTTTTATTGGTAGGGAGAAGAGATAAAAACTGAAGACCCCTATCGGAGCTGTAGGGAGCCCTTCAGACTGATCCCTGCACATCTCGTTCTGGATGGAAAAAGGACTTTGTTTATGTGACTCAAGCAAAGGACAGTGAAGAGGAGGAAACAGGGAGGGGAAAGACTGGAGGGCAGGAAATTTAAGAAGTGAGATAAAAATAACTACTTGGGGAGAAAGCAGTTTGACACACAGAAGGGGAGAGACGCTCAGAGCCAGGGGAGAAAATACAAAACACATCCGACTCAAAACCTCCTCTGATATCATGATCCGCACAAACAATCTGCATATAAATAACCAAACAGGATGTACAGAAAGGTGATTAATGTGTTGTCAGAAATAAAAGCTGAGCCACAAAGTGTGGCACTGTTCTTGTTTCCCCTTCATCCTCATTCAGATGTTAATGTCAGCGCGGCTGGTGGCTGCTCCAGGCACACGTCTGCTGCTGCTGCTGTCAATAAGAATTAACCAAGAGAGAGGATGGATGTTGTTGTTTTGTTGCAGACAGCTTGGCAGCAGAAACAGAGCAGTGGACGGACTGACAGAGGACAGACTGAAGCACAAGGCTGACTCTCCCCGGAGACACACCCCAGACTGAGCTGCTGAATTAGGCTGAAGATTGTGTGGCCTGACTCGCTCCTCTGAGGACAGACAAAGACCTCCCTCTGACTTTTTGAGCTGCTATTGTACTTCAAGATGCTAATTTCATTTCAGCAGGCAGCCCCTAACATTTCCTCTTCGGGAAGGACTTGTGTGTCTAGGAACCTCGTGAGCACTTGGTTTGCAGAAAGATGTCCAGACACCTACGACAAACGGAGCTAAATTTGTTTTAAAAGTCATTGTTCCAGGAAAATGTATCCTACTGACTTTGATGACCCTTTGACATTTCCTCTAATGTCACCATGAGGTTTCGCATGTGTGCTTTCTCGTGAAAGTCTATCAGATAGATGGCCATGATATTTAGCACAGGCATTAATGTTCCTCTCAGGAGCCATCATCAGGTCCATTATCAATATTGTAGTTTAAAGCTCTAATATTTTACTTTTTCACATTAAAATGTCTAAAAATGTTAAATATAATATTTTTTTTCCAACAATTCTCAAACCAGAGAAATAAGTGATTTTAACCATGGTAACGGTACGTGTCATTTGGTCACCTGTCAAACTAAGACGATAAACATTTTACCTGCTGAACATCAGCATATTAGCATTGCCACTGAATGTAATGTTTCAGTCTTAATCTAAATTAAGTCTGGTTTAAATTTTCACCTTCACCAAACCAGTGCTTTCTGGGTCACAGCAGCGCCACAAAAAAATCACTTTGACTTCAAAGCTGCGCACATCAAGCAGGAGTTTTATCTACTAAATAGAAAAATAAACTGTTGGGAGAGAAAAATCAGTTTGATGGTGAGACTTTGGTTTCAGCGGTCTGGCTTGTCGGCGGAAGCAGCACACATTTCACACCTACAATAGTTTATCTTACATCTTATATCTTATCCTATCGTGGGTATAGAGGCCAATAACATAGTCACGTCCAAAACCCTCCTCACAGCTCATGTGTTAAAGTGTATCACAGGCGACAGTTTAATTTCAGAAATAAACAGTGAAACGGGAGGATATCTGTGGACTTTGAGGCTGTGGAATCAGATTATCAGCTGCTCATTCATCTTATTCGTATAAAAGCAACAATGAATTACATTCTATGCAGGGGCTCATCCAAAAAGGATAAAAGTTGATAGCACTCTTTTAAAGTGTATCTAAAAAGCGACTGACTTTAATCTCTTCTGTTCGTCTCTCCTCTCTTCCTGAACTCGTATCTCATGTCCTTTTGGAAAGACGCCATCCACCTTTCTGTGGAACCTCATTTATCTCTCTGAGTGTCCTTGTACTGGTTTCCCCCTAGTGAGGAATGACCAGGACAGAACAACATCTGATGCCTCGACTGACACTGACAATGTGCAGCAAAGGTTCCTTCTCCCAAAAGCAAACTTAAGAGCTTTTGAGCACCAGCAGAATAAAAAAAACACACTCTGAACCCCACCATGTCCAGCAACATTCAAACCATTTCTATGGAGAAAATAGATTTTAAAAAATTAAGGTCGGCTCATCTGTGATTGACAATTTTATGCAAATAACAAAATTGTATCTGGCCTCAGCTGGTTATACTTTTAAACTTTGACATGATCACAGATATACAACTACCAAACTACTTGCTAATATTCTGTGCCTGTTGATTATTCGTGGTTATTCTTAACTGTTGCGTTTATTGTTTACATAGACAAACAGAGCTTTGGGCAGTTGATTAGATACACCTTGCTAAAACGCAAAAGTCCTGTTATAATGGTGAGTTTTAATCAAAACTTTATTGTAGAGGTGTTGATTTAACTTCATGCTTATCTTCATCAGTGAGGGTAGGCTTAATACCAGTTACAGCACAATAACATTCAACAGCACCATAATCCACTGCCTCTAAAATGACCGAGGCACAATCAACAACGTCTCTACAAAAACTGAATGTTACAACTATCATTAAAATAGGATTTGTTGCAGAGCTGTTGCATGCGACTGCGTCAGTTTGACCTTGGCAGTACATATGGGAGTGATGAAGGCTTCTACACAGCCTTTTTCAGTTCTTACAAAACACCGTAAGTTTCCTGTAGTTGCTTTGATCAAACAGAGCGATAAGACTGTTCACCTCACCCATTACTTGCATTACGATAAGTCACAAGGTTAGTGGACTGACTGCATTCATGTAGCACCTTCACTTCACTGATGGTGGCCTGCGCATGAGGGGAAGGCTGGGTTTTACTGTCTCTGAGCTGAACACATCCAAAACAACTCTGTGATATCTGAACAACCTGCTGTACCTGCCACAGCTGTGTTACATGGAAGCGCTAGAACTACTTTTTCAGTATTTGTGAAGGGTGTTCATGAATTATTCACTTTTTACTCCCTTTAAAAAAAACAACTTTGAACCATTACTGTCTAGGCAGACATGTTAACACACATCCAAACAAGCTTTAAGGTCTTTATCTCTCAGTCTCTGATTAGGAATTGCTCTCACATTGCTCAGTGTTCCCATGTAACTGCTGAAAGTGATTTTAAACTACATGACTTGCCCATATGAAATGACGTGAGGTGTGTTTTTGGTACTGTCTTTTGGTTCGATTTATTCAGGTTATTCAGTTTCAATCAGTTTTTTTCAAGGACGTTTTACATTTGCAAGATTTTTTTGAACATTTCTTTCAATTGATTTCAGTTTTATTGTCATTATACTTGTACATACTGTACATAGACTTGTCATTCCAAGAAATACAACCTTCCCAAGACAGTAAAATTGTAGCTTTTGTTCAATGACCTCTCCATAAAACGTGATCTTCTTTAAGTCTACTTTAATGACACACAAGAGTACGTCAGTCTGTTTGCCGTACCAGCAGGGGTCAGTAGGACACACATGATTCTCCAGTGAGCCAATTATCACTACATGATAGTTAACATTGCCCTGTGCTGACGCTCTCAAGTCTGAGGGCCCGAAAGGAGGGGAGGGCGAAGCATGGGGGCATGAAGACCAATTAAACAGTGACTGCACAACAGGAGACAGAACTATAAATAACCCTAACCACCCTGTGCTTCAGCCCATGCCTGAGAGAGTGTAAGATACCAGACAGACGCTGCACTGTGTGTGTCTGTTCACCTGATCTCTGTCTTATTTGCAGGGTTGTGATTTTGTAGTGTATTGTCATGGATGTGTTGAGGCATTACAACTCGCATGTTCCTCCCAATTATTACAACTGTATAATATAATGACTATAATGATTGTTGACACATTTCCATCACAGCACATGTGCGTGTGCACTTTGTGTCCGAGACAAAGGGCAAAGAGCTGAATACTTTACACGTGCACAACTAGAAAAATCAGACCATCTTATCAGAGGTTGTCACGCCTACATGCCCCGTTTGCTGACGTCATGTGGCCTCCTGATAAAGGAGGTCCATGAGAAAACACTTACGGGAACTGAGGGTGTGCCCCTGTCATGGAGGAATGAGCAGTTACACTCACCTGGAATGAGAAACTGGAAGGGGAAACTGTGTTCGCCTGCCGCCAGAGTTCCTGTAAAAGAGGAAGGTTAATTAGTGACACAGACTGAAAAAAAGAATGCAATTGATATTTACTGGTGCACATATGGTGATTATTCACATGGTTTGTGTGTGTGTGTGTGTGTGTGTGTGTGTGTGTGTGTGTGTGTGTGTACAGGTTCTTATTTGAAAACATATGCCCCAGTCAACATTAGATGTCCAGGTGAGGCGCCGTGCCTGTGGGGCTCACCTACTTTCCCACTGGGATGGAGTTTCTGAGACAAACAGGCTTTGTAGTTCAAAGACAGCTGAGCCGAGACGTCTTTCTGTAGTGAATGACAAGCAACTGAAACCACCAAGCTTGCGTCACAGGAAGTGATAAACTGTTGGTTGCATGACACCCAACACATGTAGCTGGCAAAGTTGGAGCTTTTCAAAGCAAAGTTAATCAATGATTTACAGCAGCGATCGACCCAAGACTGAGTGCAGCTCTCTACTCTGTTACGACACGGGACGGCATCACTGTGCCAAGTCTGTCCTTTTAGCTTTATTCTACATTTTTCTTTTTGTCAACACAAACCCACAACCCTGTCTACCCCAGGCTGTGGCTATAGGGCCCAAGCCCACTGGGTCCTACCAGAAATGTTTAATAACAGTTACTTAATACTTTTTAAATGGCTCAGTTATTTCATAGAACAGCTGGGAACTGTAGTTCTAAAGAAAACCAGAAAATGTTGCAGATTGGTGCTCTAGTGAGCATTGTAATGCAGATTGTAATGAAGGAACCCAGTGCAACTGTGTGGCTCACTGATGTGTTTTCAATAGTTTTGAACAACATCGGCACCGTGGAATACGACATATCAGGCTCTGGATACACACACAGCAGTTGTTAGTGTTTTCAATTGATTGTTGGCTTCGGCCTTGTAATTGCATTTGTTTACAGATGTTGGCATGAACAAAAAAACATACAGAATCTCATGCAGAGACACAAGGGAATATGAACACACACACAAAAAAACCCCCAAATAAAAACAGAATTAAAATGTATTTTTACACATGACGTTAGAGGAGAGAAGCAAACCTCTCTAAAGTGCAACAATATCCCTCTGCAAACTTTATATTTCTGATGTTATCAGACAACAGAGGCTAAACTGAAGCAGAACTCACTGCGTTCTGAGGGCCTCAACAGGAAGTGCTGTGAACTATGAAGAGGTGCTTTAAAATAACACATAGGCTACTCAAACTTAAGTACATTTTTCCATGAAAAATCAGCTCTTTTATCTCAGTTGTTCACACACTGTCTGGTTATTATACTGTCTGCAGTGCTCAGATAGGAGACCATCTGGCTGCAGTAACTCTGCCCACAGAGCAATTTCACAACTTTGTGTTTTCTAAATTTACCAGAAAACTACACCACAATTACTTCATAAACACAAAATCCTAATTTCACAGAGATCTCAGATATATCAGAGCCACAAATATCTTAACTGATATCTTACCAAGTACATTACACATTATACTGTACGTGTGTGTCACACTAAAAAATAAATCTTAGAGATGAAAACAGGACCCGGGAAATGTCATGTACTGTAACTCTGTAATTTAATTTTGCTTCTTGCTGCACCAATTACATTAATTACTGTGAAAAAGATTTTTCATACTTGTTCACTTCACAAGGTCAGTTAAATAGACAACAAGAGCGTAGGGCACCAATAAGGGCCGCTCCATCCCTGACACACGGAGAGCACCTTGAGAAACCCGGTTAATAATTCTCCAGATGAGCTGACAGCCCAATTAAATTCTTCCAGAAAGCAACACGTCTCACCTCATTAGAGATTGGCACAAACTTTTCCGTTACCGTTGGTCTCAGTTTCCTGAGGGGAAGTGCTCAGACTGTATGTGTGTGTGTGTGTGTGTGTGTGTGTGTGTGTGTGTGTGTGTGTGTGTGTGTGTGTGTGTGTGTGTGTGTGTGTGTGTGTTCATTTGCATCATGTTTATTTCTAGAGGAAGCAGTCATGGTTTGAACCAGGTCTGTGCAGGTGCAACAGCCACTCCATTTACTTACTAGCTGTAGAGAGCCGAGCTAAGATTACAGGTACAGAGAGAAAAAACTTTTTAGAAACATGATGAATGAAAGTGATTAAAACATGATCAGATTAGATGAGATATTTTATAGAGTGAGCTGTTAAAGAGAGTCTTAACCTCAGTATACTAACCCTAACCGTACAGGGGTATCCACCTAACCTCAACACATCACATCACAGACAATTCAAAGCAATTCTACCAAGACTATTACACCAGAGGGACAGAGAAAAAACTGAGTAGACAGTTTTTATACAGCCTAGACTACAGCTAAAAATCTGGAGAGAAACCAACACGGTTTACAATGACATATGTGCACTGCCACATTGGAAACTCTCCATGGGAGCTGTAGTTCTTTGAATGCCAATAAATGAATTGTCCTTTAACTTGGCACCTGATCGCTAATACAGGCTGTGCATGGCGAGTTTGGTTCTCTGTCCTTTAACTTTGTTTAGTTACAAATGGTCAAACTCATTTCCTTTAGAATATGACAAACCGCAGGAATGTTTCACTTGTTCAGAAGGACTGAGAATAAAATCCCTTAATGAGTGAGTTAGAGAAGCGAGTGGAACAGTCGGGATGTAAGGTCTGAACTTCAGTTCTTTCTAGACTTTGTTTTGTTTTGTTTTTTTGCCTTATGTTGTCTAAATGAAATAAATAAACCCAAGATAACACGTATACGGTGGCTGTGAAGTGCAAATCACAACGACTAATTGGAAAATACAACAACAAATCAAAAAACACAGTGGCATATAGGACATCCCAGTGACAAATAGGAAAACAACAAATCCCAACCACAAAGCAGAAAATGCAACAACATTAACTTGTACTGGAAAAGCTGTTAATCAACAAGGATCATTAGTGATTGGACGCACGTTGTGTTTTGCTGTTGTGTTTTTTGATCTGTTGGTGTCTTCCCATTTGTCATTGCTAGTTGCACTTCACAGCCACCGTACATATACTAGACCTTGTATTTTGAATTTTGCAATGTAGCAATCACGTAATAATGCTACTGAAAGTCTGTGCTCATAAAGTTAACTGAAAGACGATATTGCAGTGGTTTTACTCCTGACATCATGACAAACAAATACATCTTGTGCAGAGATGTGTAAAGTATTATCAATGAATAATGTGAGATATGACAACACTGGATGAGCTACAGTGGGGTCTGCCTCACGCATGGTCTAAATATAAAGCTGTCGGTTTCTAACAGAGTCTATAGTGGAACCACGACCAGACTCCAGCAGTGGAGGGGAGATCCTCATTTTATGAAGGTCATTAACCAACAATAGTGACAGGATGGAGAGTGGACTCTGACATCACTGGTCTTCACTCGTCAAGCATCTGTGGCATACCACATTATCAGTCAGCCACAGCGAGTGTCGTTTGCTTTGTGTAAGAGTGTGTGTGCGTGTGTGTGTGTGTGTGTGTGTGTAGTGGTCTTCTGTCACCCTTCCTGTCTCCCTCTCCCTGTGTTGCTCAGCCCTTGGGGGCAGAGCAGCCCATTTTTGGAAGAGAATGGGATCCGGAAAAATGTCAGAGATAAAGGGGAGCAGAGAGGGCGGGTGTGTAATGAATCATTTATGTTGTCTGGATGTGCCTGGTGTTTTACAGTGTGTTCTGTGTGTTCATGTGAGTACTGAGGTGTTGAATGCATTTTACTGTTGCTTCAAAGATCTTCCTATCTGAAGCATTTCGGGTTAATATTTCCTTTCTCATATTTCTTACGACAAAGTGTTTGCACACCAGAAGATTTCAGACCAGCGTGTCAGATCATAAACGCTGACTGTGACTACAGCTGGTTTTTTTCACTGCTTGGCTCACTTTTGTAACAAGCAGCAGATGAATACCTGCAGTTCATTATAAATACCAAAAACCTACTTTTTTCTTTAAACTTTAATAAATGAGTGAAAAAAAAAATGTTTTCATTCAACAAAAGAAACCAAACTTATGGAATACCACATATTATCTCAACACACGCAACTGTACAAGAACTGAAATACTGCCTAAAATCTAATTTAACTATTTTTTTTTAAAACTATAACTAACTATTTACCAGAACTTAATTACCAGCTTTCGTTATGTGGCCGTTTACAGTCTTTTGTGCTGTTGGTCTGCACCATTAAAAATGTTAATGTTTCACCTTCTGGTAAAATTTTACTGCAGGTTGTCACCCGCAGATAATGAACATATTTTTCTCTCCTAAATAGTTCCACCTGTAAACAGTTACACGAGGCCTGTATCCACATAGTTAATATAGTAGTATGTCAGTAGTTTTAGTTTTGTGTGAGGCAGGTGTGTTTGTGTTCATGTTTGTTCCTGTTGTACATATGATCTAACAATACTCTTGATTTCACATTAGCATTAGCTTTTAAATAATGCTAAATATCAAGGATATTTTTTCCCCAGCTTCTCAATCTTATTTCTGTTTACACTTCCCAACTTCACACGAGTTTATCTTGACATGGAGCAGAGCACTAACTTATTTTAAATGCTTCATGATAACAGCACAGGGACATAGTTACACTGTAAACAAGTGGAGTTAACAATACATTTTAGTTTATTCACAAGTCAAATTTGTGACTAAAGGAGCAATTCATCCTCCTCACAAAAAACAACCAAAAAACAAAATGTTTTCTCACTTGCACCGGTTGTGTCTTACCATGCATTTAGTTTCTAGGTTTCAGATACCTCCCCTCTGAAACATCTGTCTCTGCTTGTGGTACTCAAAACAATGAAATATCCAGAAACACTTTTCCATTGACTTACTGTTGACAGTTTTCAACAATTTCTTTGATATAAATTACTTTCAATAGAAATCTTCTGCAGTATTTTCCAGTGGCGGAAGAAGTGTTTTGATCCTTTACTTCAGTGCAAGTGGCAACACCTCAGTAGAAAAAAAAATTCCAAAACAAGTAAAAGTTCAGCATTCAAAAATGCACCTGAAGTTATGTGAATATTCTGTGCTATTATATCATTGAAGTTATTTGGACATACATTTTTGTTGGTATAAAAATGAGAGAATCCCAGTGAAAACATATACAAGCTATGTGGTTTCAGCCCATTGATCCTGTGCACCAGTGTTAGATCTGTGATCCATGTGAGGGAAGGTGCATTGCATTTTTACTTTACAAGATTATAACAAGCACTTTATACACTGTTGGGCAATTTCATTTACCTATTATAATGCACCATAGTTTGTACGTAAAGTTAATAAGTAGAGTAAAAAGTAAAAAGTACAATATTGACATCTGAAATATGATAGAGTGGAAGTGTAAAGCAGAATACAATAGAAGGAAGCAAGCACCCCAACACTCTACTTCTGTACAGTGCTTGAATAAATGTACTTCCCAGCAGTATATAGTGTGTAGTATATAGACTGATGTGTAAACCACATGTTGAAGCGAACAGTCCTGACAGTTAAACACTGAGCCGCTTCGTGGTGTTTTCACCAGCGTGGATTACACGCTCTAATGATTAACTTTGATTTGCATATATAACAGATTTCACACACCCACAGTGCATTTCAGCTTCTGGCTGTGAGCGGTATCAGCAACACATACAAAAGATGGAAGATCACGCTCACAACAAAAGGTCCTGTAAGCTCTCGCTTCCGCAGGCGAGCGGGGCCTCACAGCTGCAGGGCAGGATGGTGCCCAGAGACTGGAGGAAAACATTAAACCTGCTCTCTGTGGAGCAAGTCCAACCTTCTCCTCAGGCACTGTTGGACACTGATAACCATGTCTCACCTCAGAGAGACAGCTCACAGAGAGGGAGGCTGCATGCAACATCCCCACAGGAGACTGTTACTCTGACTGACTGACGCTTTTAACTCTTCACTACAGGGCTGCAAAAACCTGCTGCTGCCATTGTGAGATTAAGCTGCTGCAGCCATTTCCCATAAACCAAATGAGGTGAGAGGCGGGAACCATCAGTCATGTCTCACTTCTGACTTTTTCTGACATTTCAGTGTTTCAGATGAGAGAGATAAATCAGTTTGTTTATTACATATGCAGGATATCAGTAGACACCCTGCACAGTCACATGACAGTGATGAAAAGGTACAAACCAGTGTCTTTGCATGTTTTTACCAAACAGGCAGCCATTTTACATTTTGTGCAAAAATTAACTGCTCCCTGGAAAGTAGGTGCATCCTACACGAGGAGTGTTCAATAATCAGGCATACTGTGCAACCAATAGAAAACTCTAAAAATAACATCATCAGGCTTTTAGTATCATCACCTTTATCAGCAACAGACAGCGTGCTGTTGAAGTATTGCTCCTCCAGACTCCAGGAGGCGTCATTCATTTTGTTGGAGATCCCACATGAGCCCTGACAGTTCACCTTGATTGCTGCAAGACGAGGAGAGAAAAAAAAAGTCAGAGAAGTGTCTGAAAATTTGCATGTTTGATGTTTGATGAGTGCAGATAATCATTGTTTTCATTCATAATCAGTTAATCGTCCAGTCTATTTCTATTTTCTGTGCATGCTGACGTATTGGCACTTGTGACCTGTCCTATCTTGTTTTATCTTCATAAACAATCTTCTTCAGGACACAGAATAGCATTACACCCAAAAATACTGTCCAACCGTCATTCATTTTATCTGGGGAAAAGAAACAAAGAGTCTAAGGCCACACTCTGTGAGGCTCACATGGTGACATTAAATATATATGTTAACAGAGCAGCTGGGTCTAAGCAGTTTGGGCACCGTAGTGTGAAAAATACAGGCCAGCAGCACAATACACACTGATTAGCATGAGAATGACTCACAAAGAGAGACGTCTCACTAAATCATTATCGGCCTCTGCTACTAGAATGTGCATTCTGCTGCAGTGGTAAATAATCTGTCAGAAGAGGCTGTGAATAGTGTCTGACAACAGGTGGAGGAGATGAGGAGGAGCTGCTGTGAAACTAAAGAGGCAACCTTGAATAAACACCTGGATACTTCAGGTTTGACTGGTTTAGATCGCATCACTGATTGTGCTTCACCCACTGGGTCATGTTGCGTAAACATTTAGCTGGGATGATGATGGTGAGGATGTTGCAACAGGTTAGATAAAGCTGAGGTCATATCAAGATTACTGACGTTCCAGCAGGATCAACTGAACCAGAATCCATTGTTTTCAAGTCTGTTTAAAGGTCCCATATTGTAAAAAGTGAGATGTCCAGGATTATAGAGCAGGTCTAGGTTCTATATCAATACGGTGAAAGTACCTGCACACAGCCTGTATTCAGAAACTGCCTTAAAACGAGCCATCAGGACTTCCATAATTTTGTGATGTCACAGCTTTACAGTCACCGCCCAGCACGACCCAACTGGACCCACCGTCAAACCTTTTTTGTGTTGTTGCTGTTGTTTTAGCTTTATCTAACAGCACAACACAAAGCGGTTCATTGTATCACAGAGCTAACAAGCTACAAGACAGAAAAATGTTGAGGAAACGCTGCACAGTTGTATGTCAGGAAGCCAATACATCATTCCACAGCCTCTCCACGGAGAGTAATATTACAGACCAGAGGCTAAAGTTTGTTTTTGTCTGAATTTGAATGTCTGTGTGGCTCATTTCAGCGCTGACTGACCATTGCCGTTTACATTTACCGGTGAATTTTACCAAGCTACAGCAGCATGATCCCTTACCTATCACCCAGAACACAGTCAGCCAATCAGAAGAGAGGCTCAGAGACTCACACAAAAAGCCCTGTTCCTGCTAGAACCCCACAGAGAAGAGGAAGAGATGTTTTTAGTACTTAAATAACAAATATATCTTCTTATATTCTTCTTATAGATATCAAGACTTCAAGTAAAACACAGGAAAAGTGTCACATACCGGACCTTTAAGTCTGAGGCTGCCTGCCAAAATGCAGGAGAGGCTGATTTGGGAAAAAAAAAAGCTTTAAATGAGCAGAAGCAACACAGGGACAAAGAGCTGTTAAAGAACAAGAGTGGCAGCAAATCAAATCAAATCGTTGTTTTAGTAGATTAGGTTAACACAGTGGAAGTGTTGAAGGTAATCAACATGTTCTCCTGTGCCACTGCTCAGGGTGCAGGAAATTATGTTATTGTCCTCTCACGCTTGATTCAAACGTCGAGAAGATAACATCATTTTTACTCCACACTAAAGTCATGTTGAGTTCAAACTGGGGCTGCATGTGTCCTCTGACAGAAATCAACAGTGCACCTGCAACGACGAAATGCTGAAGTGAGCAGAAGGGAACAGATCTGCAGTATGAACGCAGCCCGTCTCTCTCTCTCCTCTATCCCTCATGTCTTTCTGTTGATCTTTCTGCGAGGAAATGGAAACCCTCTGATAATACACACACACACACACGCCACGACTGTGACAGAAGCCAGAGGATTAAACACAAAGAAGGCCCAGTATTATCTCAATAGACAGACAGATAGAATTTCTTTATCTCAGTATGAATTAAAACCTCTTTTGTTTTTAACCATCTGAAATAAATAAATAAATAAATAAATAAATGAACCAAACTTCTCAAATGCATCGCGACCATATACAATATAAAATGAACAACACTGATTTAAATCAGGTAAAATCTAACAACTTAGAACAAAAATAAAAATCACTTCAAGGATTTGGAACAAACTTTCTGTACTGACTTGACAGTAATGGTGGGAGATATGAATAAATCATGGTACATGTACTTCAAGATGGTTTGAGATATCAGGGTATAATACATTTTCTGTTGGTTCAACTGACAAAATAAGCAGAATCTCTTCTACTTTGACACTAAACATTTAGTAGACTAAATAATTCACCAATGAATCAAAACAAAATCAGATTAAATGATAATGAAAACAAGACTGAGAGTCTACAGCCACGCTAGCAGCTCTGTGAGGCTGTACTTAGACACAGCAGTGCTTTCAGCTGAATGCTAACGCAGCATGCTAACATGCCCACAATAACAATCCCATCATGCTGATTTTGTGGAGTGTAGTTTTTACCATGGTCACCATGCTAACATTTGCTAACCACGAAACACAAAGTACAGCTGAGGCAGTTGAGATTGTCTTTTGTTTGCAGGTATTTGGTCATGAACCAAAGTACAATCCATCCAATAGCCAGAGAGATATTTCACTCAAGACCAAAAATGTGAACCTCATGGTGGCGTAAGAGAAAAGTCAGGATAACACCAGTGTCACTGTTATTTATCTTAAGGACACCATGAAGCCTCACAGCAATCTCAACCTGCTGGTGGAGCTATTTGTTGAGATACTTCAGTCTGGACGACAGCGGTGGACTGAACAACATAAACATCCCGAGAGCCATGATGCTAACATGGCTAAAGCTCTGTGTAGCTCTAATATCAAGGTAGGTACTTCATCACACTGATGAAATCCTCCTTTTAATCCAATATTCCCACAATGGTCAAATACAAGCAGAGATATTAGGGATAATCACTTCATAACAAAATGTCAACCTGTTGTCGTCATATTGCCCAGCCCTGCACGATAGTTTTTTCACAGTGGTACAGACATGATTTGGTCGCTACTCAAAAAATAAATAAATAAATAAACAGACTCTGATGTAAAAAATATCATGCCACAGACTGTGTTTGACCAATCACAGCTCACACCCACGCAGTATCCTTTGCTCCTGTGCTGGCATCACAGAACACACACACACACACACACACACACACAGAGAGAAAGTGGCAGATGGCTGCGCTCTCCACACCGGCAGGACTGCTGGCACAGATCTGGGGAAGAGGGAGGGACCTCTGCTGCCGGCAAAAACAAAAACTGAAATCTGTGGCAAACGAAACGGAGCAGTGTCCTTCAGCCAGTCCCAGTCGCATCCATTCATTTGGTCATTAATTAAACCCTTCAATCTGCTCCGGCAGCCATCTGCCTCATTCATGGAGGAGAATAATACCTTCACACTCCACATTAACACAACCTCTGAGCTCTCTGGAGTCATCACACTTCACAGAAGCAACAATAGAATTGTAAAATTGCACAAATATGACAGAGGAGAGACATTACTGTGACGAGGTTCTGTTTACAGCTGTCTGTTGTGGGAAAGTGAAGAGCTCAGCCCACGAAAGGTCAGTGCAGGGGTAATCTGTTAATATCCCCAGCAGCAGCGGCAGCAGCAGCAGCAGCAGGAAGAGCGGCAGCAGCAGAGCTGAATAGTGAATAGTTGTGTCATAAGAGATGGGCTGCTCTGGCAGAGAGACTGGCNAACAGTGCACCTGCAACGACGAAATGCTGTAGTGAGCAGAAGGGAACAGATCTGCAGTATGAACGCAGCCCGTCTCTCTCTCTCCTCTATCCCTCATGTCTTTCTGTTGATCTTTCTGCGAGGAAATGGAAACCCTCTGATAATACACACACACACACACGCCACGACTGTGACAGAAGCCAGAGGATTAAACACAAAGAAGGCCCAGTATTATCTCAATAGACAGACAGATAGAATTTCTTTATCTCAGTATGAATTAAAACCTCTTTTGTTTTTAACCATCTGAAATAAATAAATAAATAAATAAATAAATGAACCAAACTTCTCAAATGCATCGCGACCATATACAATATAAAATGAACAACACTGATTTAAATCAGGTAAAATCTAACAACTTAGAACAAAAATAAAAATCACTTCAAGGATTTGGAACAAACTTTCTGTACTGACTTGACAGTAATGGTGGGAGATATGAATAAATCATGGTACATGTACTTCAAGATGGTTTGAGATATCAGGGTATAATACATTTTCTGTTGGTTCAACTGACAAAATAAGCAGAATCTCTTCTACTTTGACACTAAACATTTAGTAGACTAAATAATTCACCAATGAATCAAAACAAAATCAGATTAAATGATAATGAAAACAAGACTGAGAGTCTACAGCCACGCTAGCAGCTCTGTGAGGCTGTACTTAGACACAGCAGTGCTTTCAGCTGAATGCTAACGCAGCATGCTAACATGCCCACAATAACAATCCCATCATGCTGATTTTGTGGAGTGTAGTTTTTACCATGGTCACCATGCTAACATTTGCTAACCACGAAACACAAAGTACAGCTGAGGCAGTTGAGATTGTCTTTTGTTTGCAGGTATTTGGTCATGAACCAAAGTACAATCCATCCAATAGCCAGAGAGATATTTCACTCAAGACCAAAAATGTGAACCTCATGGTGGCGTAAGAGAAAAGTCAGGATAACACCAGTGTCACTGTTATTTATCTTAAGGACACCATGAAGCCTCACAGCAATCTCAACCTGCTGGTGGAGCTATTTGTTGAGATACTTCAGTCTGGACGACAGCGGTGGACTGAACAACATAAACATCCCGAGAGCCATGATGCTAACATGGCTAAAGCTCTGTG